GAACATTAGTATTTTTACAAAAACATTATGTAACTTCATCGTGGAAAACTCAGCATGTGTGGTTGGTGAATTATGAAGGACAAAGCTAGCTAGCTCCCTGTTAAGTGAATTGTACCTACGTCAACTCGTAATTAACTCATCCTGAACCCTCGATAAGATATCAAGGAAGTTCCAGACTACAAAGAGGACTTTATATTGCTTGTAAGTTTGTAAAATTTTTGTATATAAATCATTGTGTGTAATAGCTGTTATTGTAAATTGTATCATTGTTTGTATATTAAAATGTATTTGTATTAAAAAAGAAAACTGTTGGCAAATATCATAAATTGGAGATATAATGGCATATATTTAACTACTAAATTTAAATTATCATTTAACTCAGGCTATTTGTAATTCTAATACATAACAGGATGAATGTTCATAATTCTAGACTGGATGAGTTCTGTTCCTTTGGTTGAGTATGGCACACACGATTCCATCATTCCGAGCCTGGGATGATTGCCTTTTGGACTTCTTCAGGTTGAGGAGAAAGTTTGTCCACTTTGGTGTTGCTTACTTTCTCGTTGTGATTCCGGTGGTTCATAACCCATCACTCTATGGCTACAGGTTGGGACCCAATCAAAAATATATCTATATATCATGCTGCGATCCAATTGTCCTAGCTGCCAACATGGGATATAGGAATCCCTTAATTCCAACCCTGAGTTGTAGAAACTCAACTATCTGGTTGGGGCTGGCCTATAGTGATGATCACTAATGTACTATTCCACCCTTGATACAGGAACTAACTTCAGGGTGAAGTTATGGATGTAGCATGTTTCCCTCACTAGGGTACCACTCTTATCTTGGTACACTCCTGATCTATGCAGATGCTTTCTGTATGGGTAATGTCCTCACCGGTTTCTCTACCTTCTCAATGTAGGATTCTAGCTATAGGTGTCAGCGGAGGTAAGTATGTTTTGGAAGTTAACATTTTCCTAAATGGAAAATTTATTTCCTTTAATTCTTACCTCCGCTGATACTCTCCCGCTTTTCACCCTCACTATGAGCTGGTGTTAGAGACTCGGATGATATCAGTCTCGAAAAAGTTATAAGAGTATCTGAATGAGGTCCTTATATACAGTTCCAGAATAGAGGGTGCATTGAAGTAGGTGTAGAGTATCTTGTCAAGGGCAATTGAGTGGGGTATAAAAGACTGGAGCAAATGAGAATGGGCAAAGATCGAAACCCAGGTGGTCAAGTAATAGCTATAAGTGTCAGCGGAGGTAAGTATTATTGGAAATACACTTTCAATTTAGGAAAATGCTAACTTCCACCTCTCTTATACTTATGAAACTCACACAAGACTTTTGCAAATCCACAGTAGACAATCTTGAAAAGAACATTGCTGCTATAAATTCCCAGAACAGTTTTCCTACTGAACACAGAAATTTGATCCATTTATTAACAAAACAAAGAAGACTTGAAAATCATGCAAAAAACAACAGTAGGAAAACACATCATTATCTTTGACATAAGGATAAAGGTTTCTCCCATCCAAACCATAATGTGTGTTTACAACAAATTATTAACAGACTCATACTAATACCATCTGTGAGCCACTGATTAATAACTCTAACAATGTAAAAGTGTACATTGAGTAGTCTACTAAAATAGATTCTACTTCCAACTCTGCTATCTTAGTTATTTCTGCATTTGATCTACCCAAACCAAAGAACACTTCCAATCATCAGTCTGTCATTTAAGACACTTAACTGAAACTCAACACAAACTTCTCAGTAAAGGTTTTCATTCTTCTCCCACCCCTAAAAACATAGATAGCTTTGAAGTCGTTTCTGACCTACAAGAATTTTCACGCAGATTAAGACTTCAAGAATTTTTTCACAATCAAACCACTGAAAGAAATAATTTCTAAAATCCTTCTGGTTACCCCAGCCAACAGGGAATCACATCTAGAAAGTTTTATTAATGCAGTTGAAAATGAAGTAATTCAAGCCATTAACTCTGACTCAAAAGTATGAGACAATCTCTCCTACAGTGAACATACTACTCTAATTTCACTGAAACATGAAAATGAAATTATTATCAAACCAGTTGATAAGGGCAGTTCCATTGTCATTCAAGATAAGTCGGACTAAGATGTGCTATGTAGCTCACAGGAAAGCCAGCACATTATTTGTGAAACATTACAGTTCCTTTCACCAAGACTCCCAGTTCCAGGTTGCTTTTACATTTTAAGAAAAATACACAAACCCAGCAATCCTGGTCATCCTATTATTTCTAATTGCAGTATGCCTACAGAAACTTATCTGCTTACGTTGATGACTACATCAGAGATATCCCCCCCCCCATGTTTGACATTGTACATTAAATACACGACACATTTTCTAAACATTATTTCTGACATTAACAGCAACAGAAAACTTCCTCAAAACACTATTCTCTGTACTATGGATGTTTCTTCTTTCTACACAAACATTCCCCACAACAAAGGCCTTAAAGCCCTAGATTCCCCTCTGCTAAAATTAGACAAACCCAACACTTAGCTGAACTAGTACTTACACTTAACGGTTTTGAATTTAGTAATTTCTCTATTCAAACAAAAGGCACAGATATGGCCATCAAGATGGCACCAAACTATGCCAACATTTTTATGGGAGACTTAAAGATGATACTATTGGAAAGCTGCACAGACAAACCAACGTTTTGGATATGCTACATTAATGACATTTTTTTTTCATTTGGGTAGGAAACAGAGATTCATTACTGTCTTTTTATAGACATGCTAACACCCTCCACAATTCTATTAAATTTACTCTAGATTACTCCACTACCCAAATATGTATCTTAAATGTAAACCTAACATTAAAAGGTGGTGTTCTACATACAGATTATTGAAATATTACTGACAATTAAGTGGTAATTTTAGTTGCATTAGTTTCAGCTTTTAAAAGCCTAATAATACATGTTCTATTTGCTTTTGTTATAGGATGATACAGCACCATCTAAAGACTGTTTAATGGGTATGCATATGGCCAGGTGGAGAACTATTAGACAGAGGTGAGAAGTGAGACTTTATTTTCTGTTAACTCTTTCCACATAGACTTGGTCATTTTGACTGACCAGGTAACCACAAAAGTATCCATACTATACTTTTTAATGTGTTATGTTTATGTTCAAGAAATCTGGCAAGCTTTTAATAACATTACAAATCTTTTGTAAACAAAAAATCAGCTCTTTCAACTAAGTGTTTTATACTAAAGATTTGTCCTTGAATATATGGAATAAGTGTTGGCTAGTTTTCAAGTTTCATTTGCATAACCTCTAAGACCTGTCAAATGTTTTTGTTTTGTTTTTTCAGTAAAACTTTATATTTTATCTATTAATTTCTATATAGATTCAGTCGATGTGACCAACCTTGTAATCACCATAAAAAAAAGAAGAAATGAATCTAAATTACTCTTTTTTTTTTTCTTTCTTGCATGGCTGCAGATACTAAATAGCTTAAGACTCATGACAGCATACATTTGTTTCTACTTAATTGTATTGTTTTATTGTCCTTTGAACTTTACTAATAATCCTGCGATTTGTTTTCATATGTGATATTTGTGTGAACTCACAGTTTTGAAATTTCAAAAAGGTTTAAATGTGATATGATACTAATTGGTATATTTCACTCTGTTATTTTTCTAATTTTTTTATCATTTTCTTTCTTAAATTTCCCATGAAACGTAACAAGAGAACAACCATCTTCTCTCTTCTTTTTCTTTTGATAAGCATGTGAGGCCAGCAACATTGAGGATAAATCTGGTAGATGGGGTACCCCAACAAAGTTTGGGTCCTACTTCTACCAGTACCTCAAAAAACAGGTCATGTTATATAATGACCAACCTTATGGTTTGTGCTCAAATGTTGGATGTTTGTTTTCCCCCAGAAAATCTAACTAATATATACGTGATTGCTGATAAGTTCTCATCTTGTAATTGAATATTATTATTACTATTTTATTTACACTCAAAATCAAAAATATATCAAATATTTTGTCATTCTTTATGATAGCTGAAATCATAGACCCTACACTGACTAGAAAACACTCCCATCAAGGAGGCATTATTGTATGTTGTTGAATCCAATAAGAAAGAAAAATGTTAGTTTATATACACATCTAGTATGCAAAGATTACCATTTATATCACTTGTAATGTGCCCAAGAACTGTCTGCAAATATATTGTAAAAGTTTACATGGGAAGTTTACTATATTTGCAACCATTCATTTTAGTATTTTATTAATTTTGCAGCTGTTGTCCAATTTTTATTTTTAACACATAATGAAATTAGAAATGTTTAAAAGGTACATTATTTTATTTGAAGTTTCATCTTGCCCAAATTATTCTTTAGGGAACATAAAGTAGGATTATTCTAATGCTTACACTACAGCACCAATAACACTATAATTGTAGTGTTCATAGAAAAATTCGTCTTTCAAGTATTCTAAAGGTGATGGTTATATAGCTTTCAAACTATTGATTACATTAATTGTTAATAGGTGGTTGAATCAGCACTATAAAACAATAATGAATTAAATATCGCATTACCGTTATCGGTCCTGGTTGTCAACTTATTTTCATAATGGATAATGTCTGTGGTAATAAGTATTCTGGATATCCCATCTATCAGACAAAATCCAAATGCTAATATTAAACTAGTCAGCTGCCATGGAAAATCAAATAAGGGTATGTAGCTGAATGTTTACACCCACAACATCTCAGCTTCTACTGCCTTTCACTGTTTATAGCCAGTTGTGGGAAGGCAGTTACCCTTAAATTTCTTTAAGTAGAAATGAAACCATCCTAACATTTGTACTAATTAAACTCCCAACCTCCATCCTTACAAAAAGATATTAAATAGAACTATAAGATACTAAATAGAACTATAAACCCTACCTTAAAAGTTTTTATATGGTTCTTACTCCCTACCTCCATCAGCATTTTGTCCGGTAGATGGGGGTATCCTCATCATGTTTGGGTGCATTTACCACAGACATTATCTGCGATATATGTATATGTGCATGTGTACATGTTGCAGTATAGCAGTTTGTGAAAACCTTATCATCATGTTCATTGTATTCTTCACCTGAGGTTTACTTTTATTTCTCATACATAATTTGAAAGAAGTTTTATTTCTGTGTTTTTCAACTGATTTGAAATTTATTTATGAAAAAGGAGATTTATAAAACATTCTGTAATACATAGCATTAGCTTGTTGCATTCTTGTGAATCTTATTTTTTCTGTGTCTGTATACACATCTCAGGTGAATGATAATGCAATTATGTTCAGGGTGTTAATTTATTATTATTTTCAGTATTTTCTGTTATTAATGTATAATTATATTTCAATATAACTGCAATACAATGGTTCAACACAATTTAAAAGTTAGGTACTTGAAAATATGAAAATCTTCATATAGAAATTTCTTTACTACACTGACTGTCAAGTTACAGTAATGTTGTATTGTAGTATTTTCAGGTGAAACCAGTTTCCACTCAAGCATTAGATGGGTTCACTTTGTAATGGGAGTATTGATCAGGAAGATCATACATTTCTGAGTATAAATAAACAACTGAGTTTGAACTAAGAAAATAAATAGACCAGACACATGATTTTATGTGAAGCACAATCTTTACTAGGTTCAAACCAAAAACACAGTGTACATATTTGTGTAAACACTGAACGGTCGCCTCCACAGAATCAATAAATCTGTCGACAGCTTTCTTCTTTCTAGATATTTTCCCATTAACAAAGGTCCTCTCGGTGGGATAGTAGTAAGTTTGTGGACTTAAAACACTAAAATCCAGGGTTTCGATTCCCCACAGTGGACACAGCAGATAGCCCAATGTGGCTTTGCTATATTACAAACAAACTGTTGACCAAGTAGAACTGATGTAAATTCAGTTCTACATACTGACAAGAAACATCATATTTACCCAGAATGACAGGACTGGGTAAGACTGTAACCCGTAGATATTATCAACTTGGTCAATGAAGGACCCAGTAAAATAGATAATAAAGGTAACTACAACAAAATTAACTGAATGGTGTTTTGGACCATATGTTTGTGGTAAAACGTAGAATCTGACCAAACCAAAAAGCAAAATAAATTCCTATATTAATAAAAGAAGACAGAATACATATAGTATTACCTTTATACTACAATAATACAGTCACATAACTGAAACATCATCTAAGCTCACAGGTTTTGCTCAAGATTGATCCTTTCAACTTCACTGATACAGAATTGTAAATTTTCCTATAAACACCATTAGTAAAGAATTTTGAAAGCCATAAAGATTATATATCTTTGAATAATGGTGGGTTTTTATAGACTGAGAAAGCTGACCACGTTATAGGAAAACAATTTTTAATAGGGTTATTTCCCTCAGAGTTCATGTACTACTACATAATTTTTGGTCATTCCACAAGAAAAATTGGGAGGTTATTACCTTTGAATATAGCTGAACTTGCCAGTGGTTAAAATTGCTACCAAAATCTAAATAGTCTAATTAAGTACACATTCCTACAGCAATCTTTCCTATGATATAACACGTGACACCAAGGGTGAATGACCCAGGACAGTGCATAACAAGGGCAAAAGCAGTTTAGCCATGTTTCAAAACCAACTCTATTCGGAAATCTGTGCAGATATGTGAAAGCCATTTTTCAGTTCTTGGCAAGCAAGAGATGCTCACATATCTAAATTAAAATAAGGGAAAGAAACATATATTATGTCTTTATTCTACAGTCTTTCCTCCTCCCTTTCACTTTAGGCCATCCTTAATTTCAAGTTTTGAAATCCAATAAAATATATCTTAGATAAAATGAAAATTGCATACTCATCAGTCTGTATAACTTGCTCTTATCCCTGAAGAACACTTACACAACAGAACAAGCAGATCATACAGACAACACTACTATTTAAGATTACTTCTTAATTTACAATGTTTATTAATCCAAAATCCCTCTATCAATTCAATGGTACAAAATAAACAGAACATCAGTACACAACAAAAGAAAAATCCTTTGTGAGTGAAACTCACAACATTTTAGTTATATCGTTGCACTAATGATAGGAAAATTTGATAAAGAAAATGCTTTAATAGTGAAACTTCACATAATCTCAATTGAAAATTGTAGTAAGTCATTAAAGGAAGGGTGGTGTATTTATTTTCACATGTTCGCAATAGCAAAAATCAGTTGAGATGATAACTAACGTGTTATTGATGAAGAAGGGTAATTTTGTATGTTTCATTAACAGGTTTAGTTAACAGTCTTGCAAATTAATCAAGATGTCAAAGATTTTTTGAAAATTTTGGCAAACGAGAAATGCTCATCTATCCAAATAAAAAGGGAAAGAAAAAAAACACTTTTCTTACTATTACATACCACAGTGCTATTTCTAATGCCATAATGGTCTGGTGGTTAGGGCACTTGACTTTCATTTTGTGGGTTGTATGTTTGTTTTCCATTACCTAACATGTCCACCCTTTCAGCTGTAGGAGCATTTTAATGTGATGGTCAATCCACTATTTGATTATAATAACCCAACAGTTAGCAGTGGATGGTGTTGACCAGCTACCTTTCCTCTAAATTAGGGATGGCTTGTACAAATAGCTCTTGAGTAGCTATAGCTTTGCTTGAAATTAAATAAACAAACAAGCTTATGCCATAAAGTGATATATCAGACTTTAAATACAGATGCTTTTAGCAATGTTTTTTTTTAAAGGTATAGTGTTTGAAAAATTTTAAATATTTACAAACCACTCGTGTTGTTAGCTTATTTTAACATAAATCGACATATATATGTTGGCTAATTAGTATCACTTGGAAGATGCTGGATTTGTTCTCACTGTGTGAAAACTTGTTTAGTAGATGACAGTTACAACACTTCCCCACCATGAGTAAACGAGGACTTGTACATTTTATTACGTTGATGTGGACATTGCAGCAGAAACAATATAGATTAGATTATATAGATTTTTTACTCTATAATAACTATGGGTGCCATGTTAAGTTGTAAGGACATTATCAGACAAATACATGAAACATACTGCTGATGCCTATGAAAAACATGTTAATTTGATCAGTTACAGGTTTTATATTATTCTTCAGAATGCTTTTGGTGTTAGTACTAGCTTTTTCTGTGCACAAACCCAAATCATAAACAGCATGGTTGTAATCCCAGGCTGTAGGTATGCTTTAACAGAAATATTTTATAAAGTACTCTAGTTGTAATCCTGTGGAAATAAATTGAATTATCCAATGATATGTTACACTCATGGTTAATTTTTTTCTACACCTTACAAAATAATAGCTTCCTTCAATTAATTCTAGCAGTTTCTGAAATTTTGTAAACATAAAAAAAAAAAAAAAACAAATTTACACTGAAGTTTCACAAAAAGTGCCTAGGCATTCATGTATCTGCTAAGTATGCCTTTAACATCTGGTACTTCTTTCCATTTAATAACAAAATTCAGCTCCTTGTGTAGGAGTAAAAAATCTTATTAATTTTAAGACAAATCATTTACATTTTGTCTCTAAATATTTTTATCTAAGTCATTTTGAACTCCTTATTTTTTAATTATTTAAGGGTCCATGTGTGAAACTGGCCAAATCACTCAGAAGTGAAAGATAATGTACATTCATCAATATTTATATTTCACAGATGGAGAGAAACAGGGATGAAAAATGAAGAACGTTACAGAGAAAGTGGAGATACTCTGAAAGCTATGTTTGAGAGGTAATATAAAAAAAACATTCCTTACAGTTGACCCCAGAATACCTTGATATCATCATATATAGTTTCTGAGGACTGAGCAGTAACAGTTGCATTGTACACTAAAGGATGTGAGCTTGTCTGTTATAGTTATTTTCCTGAGAATTTATGTTCAACTCAGGACATACCTTGTGTATCAACAAACTTTCTTTAGTGCAGTAATTCGAATGTCACAGTGATGAAGAATAGTCAACTAATTATATACTGTATTTTGTGCATGCTGTTTAATTCTTGAGCTCAAATAAATTGTAGAGTCCATATAGCCATGGTTACACCTTGAACATGTAAATTTATATTATATAAATATATATATTACATAAGAGTGATGCATTTAGGAACGCTGTCCTTAAATTTAAATACATATACAACATATTGGTTTTAAAACAATTATAAATTTAATTTGTGGATAAATTTCGTTATTCAAACTTCCCTTAGTCTTTTTCTTCAATTCTATTGCATGTTTGCCAGTAAAATGGAAAATACAATAAACTGTTTCTTTAGTTGCATCACATTTACTGATTTTAGATATATAGAGAGGTTTTAAAAATTTTGTAATAATACTATCAATTAAATGTTCAGGAAAATAATTTTTTTTTTTTTAAAACATTATATTTTGTACTTCATGGAACCTAGAAAAGGAACTATTTTATAGGCCTGATGAATTGAATTATAAATTAAATTGTTCTTAAATTTAAAATGTAAAAAACTCTCAGAATGAAAATATTTCCCAGTAAATGTTGGTTTATGGTAACATTTACTCTCAAACTTCTACTTAAGTTAACTGTCATGTTATCTAAAAAAGGTATAGAGTTTACAGTTTGTTCTTCAGTTGAAAGTTTAATATTGTTATGTTGACTGTTCAAATAATTTTGAAATTCATGAACATCAAGTTTATTTTTCAAAACTACAAATGTATCATCAACATATCTTCTAACTACACATCCATGAAAATCTATGCAATTGGTTTGCTTGCATAAACATAGTCTTGAAAATCAACATCCACACACGCAGTGAGGATCTGTGGAAAGTTTGTCACGGTGTGTGGCCTAAGTTTGATTTCACAATCTCTTGCAGAAGGCTTTTACAATGAAAGTTCTAGTATCAAGTGATAATAATCAGTCATAGCCATCAGATTGAGCATGATCAGTGATCGAAGATGAATTACCAAGGGCTTGGAATATCATTTTGATAAAATGCAAATTATCTTCCATATGACAGTATACTATGTGTATTGATATATGTGTGACATTATGGCTACTTTTTTTCTGACAGTGTATAACTTGCTTTGGTATATATGTAATGACTAGTTTCATAGCAGTACAGAATATGTATTAATATATGATGCTGTCATGATACATAAGACTATTTAGTTTAGATGTTATTGGTTGATTTGTTTTTGTGAGTGAATATTTTATTATTCTTTAGTTTTTGTCATAATAAGAGTTAAAAGCAGACAATTGTAGGAAGTTTTGTTAATAATTCATTGATGTTAAGAATATCAAACATCACATGCAATACATTGATGTCGAGAATGTAGAAAGTGGACAGATGATTAGGTAATAATGATATAAATAGTGAGAGACAAGCAGCAGACAGACATAAGCAGATAGATAATAGTAAAAGAGAATAAAGTTGGTGTGAAATTAACTACTGTAGAAGTGATAGGCCTAAAGATTGACATAAGCCTAACATTTAATATGTTAGAGTGAAACTAACAGTAGAAAGGAAAATAAGAAAAATGAGTTTATTCCGTCAAAGCGTGGTTCTAAAGTAATTGAATCAGCATGAGTGCTCTTTGACAAAAGGAACAGAGGGTCTTCAAAAGAAAGAAGACCAAACGATTATGGTAACTCGCACCACAATTGTAAGTGAATCACCAAGAGTACCAGTGCGATAGCAATTGAGAACATAGTTTGGCTTGTCAACTGAAATTCTAAAATAATTGAATAGGCCTAAGTGGATATTTGACAAGAAGGAGAAAACTACATATATAGTATTTATGATATACCCATAATATCTATAGTGTTGAAGAATTTATTGTACATATATTAACTTGTTCTGAATATATATATTATTTTGAAAACAAGTGAAGTGCATGCTGTTTATTCATCATTGAATTTATTGCTAACAAGTCACAGACACCTACTGTAGAAGAATCCTAAGCCTAACAACAACATAGTATATATTTATACTATTAACAAATATAACTAAAAGCCTTTTATATTGACAATTGGTGAATAACAGATTTTAAAATTCTGACAGATGCAGTAAGTAATTCTCTGATAGTTTAGAATGTTTTTAATATGGGACATGAAGACTAATTTTCTGACAATAGTATAAATGTGTATTGATATATAATGTTATGACTAATTTCTTGACTTGGTAGAAAGGCACTAAGATGTGATGATGGTATATTTCCTGATATTGTTTTAAAAGCACTTTTTTTAAATAGTTAATTTTTAGATTGTGTAGACTAAATTGGAATGAGGTTGGTAATTTCTTTCTGGTAATGTAGAATATGATATGATATAGAATGGCTAATTTAGACTTTAAAATATTAATTTAAAATGTAATGTACACGTTAGATCTACTATCCTCTTAAATTTCTAAGTTAATGTTTATTTTTTTGCAGATCACTTGGGAAAGAAGATGGAGCTCTTCAAGAACAGTGGGATACTGTCATTACCACTTAAACATACTTTTATATATCATTTTTTAAATAATTTCTAATCTTACAAAAAAGTATTGGAACTATAATATTAAGAAAAGCATTTAGTAGTTTGAAAGACCTGAGAGTTCAAGGCTTTTTGTCTTGTTAAATATTTCTGAATAATACACAGTATATACATACATAAAACATTTGCATCCAATACTATTTACTTCCCTTATACCCATACATTTATTTTTCATTAACAAGCATCTCTAGTTTATATGTATGTACATCAACAGAAAACTTGTAGTGACTAATTTGCATCTAGTGACAAGTTGGATACAAGTAGTATGTTTGAAGGATTATAACCCTAAAAACCAGGTTTTGATACCCATGGTTGGTACAGCACACATAACACATTGTGTAACTTTGTGCTTAACAACAAACACAAAATGGTCAAACTTTTTAGTAAACAATAAAAGTCTGTAGTACACAGAAGATCATATGTATTACTAAAGTTTTTGTACTTTAGGATACATGTGAAATGAAAAAGTCAGTCCTACTCAGACAAGTCAGAGTGCAAGGTGATGTTCATGTGAAGAATAAAAATACGTTTGTCCATTGTACAATTTGCATTTTGTATTTGAATACCTTTACAAACTTCCTAAATGCACATCTAAAGTTTTTTTCAGTAATTCTGTATATTGTATTTTGTATTTTTTTCTAACATGAGCTGTTAGAATATCACCAGAATGTTTGGACTTCTGCCAGATTTATTCCAAACAGTTCTTGGATAAATGGCATCTTTCACATCAGATAGTACGAAACATGTGTCAGTAGCTACATACTACAGGCTCATTTATGAACATTTACCATGTAGACAGACCAAGAACAAGCAATAATGAGAGTGAAACCACCACACCAGCATTTATCAGCAAGTGTAATACAGTTATTGCATAGTACCATTTTATAATACTGTTTGGGTGTTTACCTCACGAAAGTTTATGCTTATAACTTGTAATTTTTGGCTAAAAGTATTTCATTTGTCTACATCTCTTCAACTGATGTTTAGGGAATATAATGCCTTCAATAAAAGTTTTGAAAGGCATGACCGTGAAATTGACCTCAGTAAACTGTCACTGGATAAGCCTATAACACCCCACTCCATATCATGGAGTCTGACTTGAATTGTACTTCCTCCTTATAATTCAGTGTGTCCTGTATGTAGCTTTTTCTAATTTACTGATTAATATTTCTTATATCTCTTCTTAATTACCAAGTTTATTTGGGTCAGGCTGCAGATTAGAAAGTACAAGGTTTGAGTCTGCAATATATTATAAAATGTGCTCCACACTTACAGCTGTGCGTGCATTATAAGATTGGCAGTCCATCCTACTATTCAGTCAAGAATAGCATATGTTGGTGGTGAGTGCTGTTGACTGCTTGTCTTCCCTCTGGTCAACAGTCCTAAATCATCAGTAGCTTTTCCAGAATCTTTGAGACTGACCTATCTACATAGCCAGTGTTTTACTATGTAAGGTGCCATTCAAGTTAAGAGTACCAAGTTTACAAACAATTGTAGTATATGTTAACCAGTTAATGAAGAAATTGTAAAATATGACAATAAGTTGTAATTTTTTTAATATTCATTAATTTTATAAATTGCACTCCATGAAATTTATATAACAATGTTACTGTCTCTACTACTAAATTATTAAAATATTAATGAAGTTCAACAAAAAGTATTTTATGTTGATAAGACATCTTTTGAAACTGGATTTAATGTGAAGACATTACTAAATAACTAAAATAAACCAAAATTTACACAAGTTCAAAACAAATAGATTTTTTAAAGCATAGAAAAGGCACAATCCATTTAAACAAGACAGTTATGGTAAAATTTATTTTTTGTAGAAAGCTAAAGAAGATGATCTACCAAAAAGTCTGATTTTTAATTCTAAAAAACTTGTGCGTCAACTATTGAATAGTTAAACCTTTTTTTTTTATTAAACTAAGTATTTATGATGTATATTATAAGATTAAAACCTATCAAATTCACTGTTCTCCTGTGGTGAAAGATAGGAGGTTATGAAAGCAAAAAAAAGTGAAAAATGAAAAATATCCCAGTTACTGTTAACTGTAACATTTTGTAAACTAAGGTACAGTATAACTAACTGATCATTTTCAGTTTTTAAGTATATAACAATACTTGATGAAGTTGAAATATAGTGGAGAAGCATTAGGTCAATAATCATTTTCACATTTACGATGTGGAAAAGAAGACTGGAATTCAATACAGTGGTTCTTCTCATGCTTTTTTCTGTATTGAATACTGTTTCTTTTCGTTCATGTGTAAATGATATTACTATACTGAATGCATATACTTCTCATATTTTTATTACTGTTGTTATAGTAACGTTGTTGTATCGAATACAGCTAATTAATTCTTTTCATTTTTCTGTAATTGATGTAACGATGTTACAGTACTGAATACATTATATAACTATTGAAATGCAGTTTCTTCTTATACTTCTCAAACTGTTGTAACAATGATGTAGTTGTATTGAATACAGCGAAGTATTTTTGTTCTCATGTAGCCAATGTAGTAATGACAATGACGTTCTGTACTGAATATAGCATAGTATTTTTGTTCTTGTGTAACTGATAAAACAATAAAAATGACGTTGCTCATCTAACAAAATATTTAGACAATCTTTCTTCACTGTGAATTAATCAATCTAGTTAACTGAAATATTCATGAAATTTCGTAGTTACTAAAGTAAAAACCAGTTGTTTACTTTGTAAATATAGAGTGCTTAGTGCTTATTCTTAGTGTAAGGTAATTGTGCTTTCTCCATAAAATAACTTCTAAGAAAGTGTTACCCTGTTTTTTTCTTATCTAGCTATTATCAGTTGATTTGTATATACTACTAGTGTTCTAAAACACGCAAGAACAGCAGTGCTACAAATATTAAGTACTTCATATTAAAACGATTTTGAAGCCTTATCACGTCGAGAGTCCATTTCTCCACTTCCGTTCTTGCATTTTCTGATGACCTTGCACATTGACAATATCCCTGCAGCATAGTTTCTTTTGTAAAAATCTCTGTTGTAAGGCTATCATGGCCAAAGCACATCATTCCTACCTAACGACTTTCTATTATCCGTCGGAGTTCCATAGGCAACTTGACCGTATGTCTTCATACGGAATAGCATGAACGCAGGTTTCATTTTATAGCTGCTTGAGGTATGCGACTGTTGAATGGATATGTTGTGGAAGCGACTTGTGTATACATTAACTTCTGCAGTGGCAAATTTAGCTATACTAGAGCTCTAGGCGCAACCACATTATGTCATTACTCTTGACCTAATCATTTAGATAATTCATAACGGTGTGAATTAATAACTAGTATTGTATTAGATATATATAATATAAACTCAAACAAATAATGAGTAGAATATCTACCTCATATAAAAAATTTCCTATTTTAATTGCGAACTGGTCAATAATTTTTTTGTGATTCATATTGTAATTTGTAATTCCTCGTTCTCTATGTTCATAAGTGAAAGAGAAGATAAACGATTCTGGGATGTTGTGTTCAGTAAATAGTTCTTCACTCTTTTTTTAACTCGCAAAATGATCTTTCACCTGTAGTATTGCTATAAGGAAGACTTAAAAAAGTTCAGCATAATTTCTAAGTTGTCGAATGCAATCCCTTCCATAATAAATTATAAATGTCACTCGGGCAACAAATATTTTATTCGCAAAATGTTTTTAAAATGCCGTTTTTCTTTAAATAACTCCGTGTCTTTATCACTCATATAAAAAAATTTCAAACAATCATGTTTTCTTTGTTATTTATTGTAAAACCAAAGAACATTTTAAAATGTTTAATAACATCTCTATAACTTTCCATTCTTTTGTCTATTTTGGTAACTAGTCCATCACAAATTACAAAGAAAACACTAGAAATGAATCGATCTCTTCCTGTTAACAATACTTTTTATTAGTATTGTTGCGGGCTCTGTAAGGGGCTTGCCATTGTCTGGGGCTGATTAAGTCGATGGTCAATGTATCCTCCTTGTGTAACAGACAATAAATCGTCTCTTAATGTATCTAACTCGCTTTTAAATTTACTGGAACAAGAAAGGAAACAAGAAGTACAAATGGAAAAAATCAGTTGCCACTGCTGTAGTCTCTCTTCTTGTTTATTTTCTTTCTCCTCCAACAGCTGCTGTAATTTCTCTTCTTGTTTCTTTTCTTTTTCCTCCAACAACTGCTGTAATTTCTCTTGTTTATTTTGCTGTTCGAGCTGCCATTGTTGCAGGTTTTTTTGCAACTGCTGTTGTCTCTCTTCTTGTTTCTTTTCTTTTTCCTCTAACAAATGTTGTAATTTCGCTTCTCGTTCTTCTTGTTTCTTTTCTTGTTTTTGTATTGCTGCCATCAAATCTGCTAGGCTGTAGTCTGATTTGCCGCTTCTCGTTTCCATTTTTTTTTCTGTCCCACTCTCTGACACCAATTTGTTACGTCTCCGTTTTTTAATTAACTTTCCGTAACTACGAAACTTAAGCGACACAAGCCTTTACTTAATAAAACTG